TGGACAGCTGTTTCGCCCTTCTTGGGGCTCGTCAGCACTGTGTAGCGAAGATATGTAACGCAAGCCCAACAGCCAACGCGCATAAATTGCAAAATGACCCGTTCACTATATCAAGTTCAGTACTTTGAACTCACTTGCGCCTCGAAACGCGCGTTGCCACATCACGTGTTTCGGGGCGCAAGGAGACAAAGTGTCAAGATTGGTGTCTCGCAAAACAAAAGAATAAATGTGGCTGGACAAGGTCAGCCTAAACATTTAAACATTCAGCCGCATGGCCAGTACCATGCTTTAAAAACGCAGCGTATCAGATCTCTTGTAGATCCTACATTGGCAGCGTTTGTCGTATGCGGTCCCTTGCAGTTTCTGGTTTCTCATTGTAGTATTAGATTTGCACATTGTTTCAATATGTGAACACGTTAAGTGAACACGTTGAACACGTTGAGTACTGACGGTGCCGTGATTTAAACTTTAGGATCACAAAGATCAGCTTTTTATGTCGATAAACAGCTTATGTTGTTGTTTACGCGCAGATGATGTATTGGAAAAAAATGATCCTGCCAGGCCACCATTTGGGAAAAATTAAATAAGCGCCCCGCCTCGATTAAGCGCCCCCTCGAATAAGCGCCCCCCATTTTCTCCTAAATTTGAAATAAGCGCCCCGGGCGCTAATTCGAATATTTACGGTATTCAGTGGACGGCCATATCACAACTTTTCAATTAGAGGACTGGAAACTAGTGAAGCTGTCGGCAAAACAATCCATCGTGTCAGCGGAAGCTCCCTTCACTAGCATAATTCAAAATGGCGGACGAACTGACTATTCCGGGCTGTGTAGAATATCTGTGTCTTTTTGCCCAAGAACACGTGGATTTTCGAATATCGGTAAGTGTATGCAAACTTTAATATCTAGCACAGAAAAATTCTTCTTTAATACCAGTGAATTGGAGAAATTTTGAGTTTTATGAAAAGTTTCCTTGCTTAACACAATATTTTAACCCTGCACTCTTGCTTACAAAACTGAGAATTCCCAGTACTGGCAGAAGCCTCCTCTAGCATTTTTCATGTTCCTCTGATCACGTTTTCCCCAATCGTTTTGAGTCCTCTAAAATACCTTCATGTTTCACCATTGTGTGATATCCACGATATGGATAACAGTTAGAAAGAGAAAAGAAATCTGCAAAATCAACGAAGACTTTAAATTGCTTTTTTGATAGCTTTGGAAAGAGCTATTTAAAATGGCTTCACAAGGAGCCAACTTAAAAGTGTTTTCAAGCTTTTTACGTATGAAGAAGAAATAACTTAATTGTTCTCATTTGTAAGTTTCTGATTTTACTAGGCTTTGAATCAATCAAGGTCGTAGAAGGGGTGGTGAATGGTCCTTCAAAAACCATGGGCCTTGCAAAATTTTCACTGAATTTCATGTGTCTCGCAGTCTTGTTTTTTAGTGGTTATGTGTGTCTCGCAGTCTCGATTTTTCTCACAAAGCTGCCTCTTGTAATTAAAGAAATCAAAATTTCGCGGGTTTGCAAAGAAAAATGCTAATCTTGTCGTCTCGCAAAGTCTTGCATTTACCATTCACCACCTCTCATAGAGTATGCGACGTTTCAAACGCACCATTTTTAAAATTACAACAGTTTTATTAGAAGTGAGAGTTGTGAATGTTTTTGTTCTTACTGCAATTTGAGCTCATTTGTATCCATCTGTATGATTTCAACCCTTGCACAGTGTTTTGGACAAGAAGGTCACAGCCCTGCAAGTCCAAGGGGCTTCACATGCCTGTGCATGCACAGTTACTATACAGAAGCTGCAAAGAAAATTATCTGTAAAGAAATTCTATCGAGAAAAAAGTTAACTCTAAGCTAGCATACAGTATAGAGTCCAAGGATACAAATTGGAGCATGAAGTTTCAGCGAGTACCCTCAAACCATGAACCCTTGACTTTTTTTTTTTAAACATTTTATTTTTGTTTACTATGGGATGAGGGATCTAGTGTCTTTACACTGTAAAAATGCTAATTTTGTATATTGTACAGTGTATGAAGAGCACTAATTCTATAGTCACGCAAAAAACGCGCAAGGTGTACAGTACTTGGTTCAAGTTTCTTTTCTGTATATTTATCTTGAATTATAACATAAATTTACATGTAGGTTTTTTTAAAAATCCTCTAGACCAGATGTCTTTTTATATGCATGCTTGTACAATGATACGTTGATTACTGGATGATCTTGTGTTTTTCTAGTGGGATTTGGTGTTATCCTCGAAGATTGGAGGCAAACCATACCCTGTAACACACCCAGCCAATTAAATTCAAGCATGCATTATCCAGTTAATACTCCCCTGCCGTCTTCCTGCAATTTTTACATTACATTAACCAAACAAGCAATGCATCATCAGGGTGTTGTGAACAATTCCAAGGAATAATGTGAAAATGAATTGATTAAAAATCCATTTTCTCCTGTGTGTTATGTTAGGAATTGTTATCAGTGTCCACAATGTTTAATTTCAAGATACTTGTGCAATACCAGGATCACAGGAAAGAAGTAAGATTAATGAATTGATATATCACTTAACTAGATTAACTTCTGAAGGACAGAACCTTCTCAATGTTCTCTTCGTTGGACAGATGTTGACCACCACACCCTCTGTTAGATATCTGTTTTAGTAGGTTACATATCAATAAGGGACTGAATTAAAAAAAAAAAAAAACACAAACAAACAAACAAACAAACAAACAAACAAACAAACAAACAAAAAACAAAACAAAACAAAACAAAACCAAAAACAAGCAAACACCTTTTTTCAAAGTCAAGTGCAATATTTCATATATAATATTTCAGCTTTCAGTCTTTTTTGCAAGCCTGGCATGAGGAGACAAATGCATTAAATGCAATATTGAGCACATTCATGAATTAAATATTTATTTGCAAATTTAATGGAGTTATTCCTCTTGTTTCCTGTAGAATCCTCATTTGGTGGTATGTTTGCCTAATGAAAAGTGTGCAAGGTACCTGCTATCCAGAGTTGTTTCTATAAAGTGAGTGTTTGTGAATATGACATTTTAAACTTGTATGATTACATGCATTGTAATGACTTAAAATGTTTTGACTAATCGTGCTGCAGAAAGGCATAGCTGGGAATAAATAGTAAATATGTATCATTTACTAGGTAAAAGGTCCAAATCTATGATTAAAAAAAAAGGTGGTCCATATTACAAGAAGTTGGACTGGCTACGAGCCAGTGATTAGCCAATCAAATTTGTGGATTTATGATTCTGGCCCACTAAGATACTTCAGGAAAATAATAAAATGTATTAGAAAATAGCCCAAAGAAAATATGTGTGTTGAATGGTTTAAGATGAATTCCGCTCAATGTTCGAGCAATAACTGCAAAAATTATTTAGTAATAATCACTCACAGCACTGTAATGTTTTGAATACTATTTCAAACATCTCACTGTAATTCAGTTCTCTAAGTGACCCTACCTTGCAATAAAAACTGTTCAAATACAATCAGTGCTGAAAAGACATTTGACCTCAATTAGAAACATTCATTTCTGGCGTTTTAATGATTTGCAAAAATAAGTTACAGGGAAATCATTTGTTGTACCTCTTGTGTTACATTTTTTGAAACTGTACGAACAAGTAACTGACACTGTGCCACCGTTAAATACAGGTGAAGACAATAGAAAAAGTCCTGTTGGGACTTCACAAATGGTGACCTCTTGATAGAGGTCAACATTACAGTAATTAAGGGAAGTAATTTTTGGGACTTTGAAAACTGACTGCTAATACATGTAGAGGGTGACCACTTAATATGGTGCCGCTCAATACAGGCTCAACTGTTTCTAAATTGTCATGGAACAATAATATTATGACCTACATGTACAAGTACACTGTGCTACAGTATGATCAACATATTTTGATTCATTTGCCTTGAGAGACAAAGTACTAATAAAATAAATAGATCACAGGTGTGTTGCATCTTTGAAGTATATGTATCTCAAACTGAGGAAGTTTGATGTTGCTAAACAAATATATATTAATTTTGTTAAACAACTGGAATTTTTTCATCGTTTCTTACAGCAAGCTTTCACCTCCAGTGGCTCATCATTTAAAATAACCATTGAATCATTTAATAAAAAGCTGACAGTAAATCAACAGAGAGAACTCATTGATGTAAGTATACAACTTGTGAATTACTCCCATGTAGCTTAATAACCAGATCTGGCATCACTTGGAGAGGTGTGATTGTAAATAATTGTTAGTTCATTAGTATTATCACTTCTGTTTTGTTTAAGCCTGGTTTTCACTAGGGACATAAGCATAAGCGCAAACACAAACGCAAACACAATAATTCTTATTTCATCGTAAAAAGCAAGGGCCTTAACACAGGCATAAGCACAAGCACAAACAGAAGGATCAAATTTTTTTCTTTTTCTTGTGCTTGCACTTATGCTTGCATTTGTGCTTCAACAAGTGAAAATCAAATACCACTCAGGCATAACACAAGTGCAAGGATATTTACCATACATGGTTATGTTTGGCCAATGAGAACACTGGATCCATATTACCTTGCACCTAAACAGTTTTCACAATGGCAAAAGGCTCTGATTATTTTGCTTGTGCTTGTGCTTGGGTCGAATTTCATTTTCACTTGGGTCATCCCTATTGCTTGCATTTGTGCTTGCGCTTAAACCAGTTTGTGCATGTGCTTGCATTGCTAGTGAAAACCAGGCTATAATGCTTTCCACACTTCAGAGATCAGTTGTTTTTATTAGTGAATGAATCTCACAATCTTAATTCACACCCAATTCCACAGCACTTAATTGATTTTCATTACTTTGATGTAGTACAGCTGTACTTAGGAAGATTGAAACCACAGTACACCTTGTTATCCACAGCAATTCCAATTCCTTCCTTTTCAAGGCCGTGTAAACCTGACGGCTCCTGATCATGTGTTCTCCTTGCTGCTGGATTATGGAGATGACTCTAATGAAGCCCCTGCCACTCCAGACAGGCTGTTCTTTGGTCGCCTGGTAAGAAGAGAGTTCTACATGTAAGTTGCTAAAAGCAAGGGGGGTGGGGGAAGGGAGAGAGGGGGGTGTGGAGCAGCATTGTTGCTGTTTTTCACAACACCTCCAATGTTATAATATTGATTACCAGTCTTTGTTCAAAAAGTGAGCTCAAGCAGATTCAGCTAGCACTTCTAAACACTTTTACACTACCTTTGCATTAATCTTATATTTAGTAGAATTGTACTTCT